AGGGTTTGGGGTGGCCCCCTCCAGACCCCCCATAGCCCCCCCTTCCGATAGTCCGGCATATCTGATAATCCAGCACCCCCTGGGTCCTAAAGGTGCCGGATTATCGGAAGTTTACTGTACTATTAGGTCAAGTGACATGATGAAAAAGCTTCCATATCCCATAGAGGAGCATGAAATTGATGGCCTCTTGTTATCCTCCCTTGTTAAACTGCAGGTGTCATTTAAGAAAAATTCTCATTTAATAAAATAAAGCGTGCGTGCACCGTAATCTCACAAGCCTAAAGGACCTAAGAAAAAGTGGTGTAATAGTTAAAAATGCAGACTGCATACTTATTCACATGTCAAATATTTTTCTGAAGTATACTAAATTCCCTCTATACTAATCTGAAGAATGGAATATCTTACTTGATAACTGGTGCTAACGGACCAAATGTCTCTTCTTGCGTGCAAAGCATTTTTGTTGTGACATTGCTGAGCAGAGTAGGCTCAAAGAAATTCTTTCCAAAGCTGTGTCGTTTCCCTCCTGTCATGATAGATGCTCCTTGAGAAACTGCATCGCTAATGTGTCTCTCTACCTAAGATGAACACAAATAAGATACTCAAGCTAGCATTTAGCAGAAAAGATTTGGTTTAGTTTTCCTTGAATACACAATAAGATTCCCCAAAATTAAACAGGACATTAGACAAAAGGGGTTTAGTCTCCTCCTTCAGAGGACTGAGACCTGTTTAAAATCTCCCTTTCTGATGAATTTTCATCTCTCCGCCTGAACGTCACCTGAATTTTAGACATAGACAAGGATATCTTTCAATGCAGGATGAAATTCAGTAAAGATTTACACACAAGCGTAACATTATGGATGCTTATTAGTCCTGTTGAAGCCAAGGGAAGTACTCACATTGTGTAAAGTTAAGCACATATGTAAGTCTTTGCAGGATAAGGTCACACATTCACGGTCAGCATTTTCACATACAGACAGAGAAGACTGTCGTCCTTACCTACTGACAGAAATAACTATCTTATCTCCAGGGCTCGACAATCTATGTAATCTACTCGTCCGTGACGAGCAGATTAAAACCCGGAAGAGCAGGTTTCAGGAGATCTGCGCATGCACAAATCGCTGGACAGAACGGCTGGAGAGTGGGGCTCGCTGCGGCTCGTCGAGCCCTGCTTATCTCAATAGCAAGTCGGAAGGATGGTATTCGAGGGACCATATCTCAATCAATACTCTAATGGACAGAATTCACATTAAAGTAACATCTATGACCACTAGCACGGATGGATAAAAATTGATGATTTATTTTTAATGGATTTTAAATGGATTTTTAATTTTTTTTAAAAATAAGGCCTTAAAAATAAATCTGAATTTATGGTAACCTATGGTAAGGCCTCAACTTGCTATGATCTATTCAAATCATTTCAATAGATTAATTAAAAAAAAAAAAAAAAAAAAAAAAAAAATTACATTACATCAGTGAATCTTCTGCAAATTTTTATAAGTTAGAGTACTATTTTTTTTTTAAAGTATAAACATAATCGGGCAGGGTAGTGAATCTAAGTACAGTAATTACTCGTTTAACATGTGCTTCTTTAACACGTGCCCGCTTAACATGTTTTCGCAATAGCATGATTTTTTTTTTTTAGGGAATGTTTTTCGAATAACATGACCGTCCCCAAAATAACACGAAAATAATCAAGTGGCAGACTACTTCGTGTAGCGGGATAAGTTGGTGAAAAAAGTGGTAATACGCATGAGCGGATAAATACACGTGGTCACAGAGCTCCTCTGCTCACTCACTTGTTTATCTTTGTTTTAACAAACCGCGGCGACTTGCGTTGCTAGATATCTAATGTTGACGTTGACGACCCAGCACCAACAAAAAATTGACTTCGCCACCACCACCTGAAATGCAATCCCCCCCCCCCGCCTTTTCCATTATTTTTAATGGGAAAATTGACCCTGCATAGCACATTTTCGCTTAGCACAAACATTTTCAGAAACACATCAATGTGTTAAATGAGGAATTACTGTATGTCATGTCATAATGTCATATGATGCACTAAGTATCTACATTATTTTTAATCTTTACAGCAGTGTGAATGGTGGCATTGGGACCTTTCCTAATGCAGGTATTTTCAGTTTCTAGTGTGGTGAAAAGTGTGTTTTAATTTTACTTTTGAATTCAGTTTAGCCAGCTGGTGCAGAGAAGATATTTTCTTCCTCTGGATTAATTCATCCAAATTAAGAAAACCAACTGGGGGCTGGAAAAAGTAGGAAAGCTTGTTTCCCCCTTCCAATCTATGACCAATAATTTAAAAAAAAACCCTTCAGGTGGGAGAAGATGAACTCTACTAATTCTAAACATCTGAAGGAGATGGGGCCAGATTTTCAAAGATATTTAGACACCTAAAGATGCAGATAGGCATCTAGTGGGCCATGGCTTAGTGACAAAAATTAGGAATAAAAAATTATCTAATAAATAAATGCCATTTTTAATTTCCATAATAGAAATGAAGAATCTGAATAAATGTATGTTAATACATATAACTACTTATAAAAATGAGAAAACAAAAACTCTATCATGCTACCTAGAGATATGAATACTCCCACTATAACTCCCACAGTCTGTTAAGCTTTTACAAATGTTCTCCAGAAGAATACCTCTCAGAATATAATTGGAAAGAAAGGATTGATCATGGTAGATTATTCCTTTTTATTTTCCTAGTTTAATGAAGCAATGATGGCTGTAATTACTCCTGTTCACCTCATTGTGGGCTTTGAGTAGAAAATACTTTCTACAATTTCAGAGATAAAGTGGGTGAAATAATAGCTTTTGATGGTGAGACAGTCAAGCTTTCAAGCCATTCAGAGCTCTCTTCTTGAGATTTTGCAAAGATCACCTCAAAATGCAAGGTCGAAGAGATTATTTAGCATAAGTAAATAGCATGTATTATAAGAGTAGAGTAGCAAATATAGCCTTACAAAACAGGCATTAGACAAAACTGAGTATACCCGTTTAATACTTTATAAAAATATAAATTAAAATTTCAAAAGCGAAATTCAGTGTATTTTTTATTTATATGTACATACCTTTTTTATTGCTTTTTCATTAATTAATGGCCCTTGAGTAGTTCCTTCATCAAATCCATTTCCTACACGTAACTCTCTCTCAATGGCTTTAGCAAATTTTTCCACAAATGCATCATGGATCCTTTTTTGCACCAAAAATCGGTTTGTGCAAACACATGTCTGCAAACAAACATGAAAGAACAACAAAACATAAAGCTTAGTGCTTTTTCACTTTTTTTACAGCACAGTAACTGTTTACCATTACAATTCCTTCCATGCCTCCTCTTCACTCACATAGGCTGTTCCCAAAGTTTCCACTTCTCTCATTACAACACCCTGAATATCAAACACTAACAAGCAGGAAGTGTTTCTCTGAAACACCTCACCACATTATCAGGTGTGGTTCCTGCTAGGAAAGGGCTAATTGGGTTCTGGTGACTCTCTAATTAATATCTGTAACTTCCAAGATATAAAGGAGGTGGGAATTATCCTCTAATAAAAGGCTAGAGAGTGTGGGTTTAGTAGCAGTTAGCACCTAAGCTGAAGAGAAGGTAGGAACAGATATTTCCGTTACCTTATTATGTTTCCCTTTGTTAAGATCGTCAAATCTCATAGAAAGGGGAGTCTGGATTTTTCAAGCTGGGTTCGTAGGCTGGGAGAAGAACACCTGCTCACACTGACCCTTTGTTCTAGTCACATCCTCCTCTCTTCCTCCCTTGATTGCTACAGCCTATTATTGTTTGATGTTCTCCAACAAATAACTGCTAAAATAATGCTCTCCTGCAGGTCAGACTGTATTATCTACCTTTGATTCCCTTTGGTAACTTTTTACATCAAGTCTAAATTCCTTACTCTTGCATATGAGAGCCTATAGTATAGATTAAGGATGTTAAGAGATGGCGGGGGTTGCTGCTGGAGCTGCCCCAGTGCCTGGCCCCAAACAGAGTGCTGGGCCTGCCATGGGCAGAGGCTGTTTTGCAGCAGCCTCTCCTGCCCCTCTGTTCTGCTGTCTCTCAGAGGCATCAGTGCAGTGGGCGGGATTCGGATTTAAGCTGGCTCCTCTTCTCTTCTCTTCCCCCCCCCACCCACCACCTTGTTGCCTCTGATACAGAAGTAGCGGGGGAAGCAAGTAGTCAAGTCATTTACATCCCTAGCCTAGACAGACTTTGAGGTTATGTCTACACTACCACCCTAGTTCGAACTAGGGTGGTAGTGTAGACATAACCTCAAAGTCTGTCTAGGCTAGGGATGTAAATGACTTGACTACTTGCTTCCCCCGCTACTTCTGTATCAGAGGCAACAAGGTGGTGGGTGGGGGGGGGAAGAGAAGAGAAGAGGAGCCAGCTTAAATCCGAATCCCGCCCACTGCACTGATGCCTCTGAGAGACAGCAGAACAGAGGGGCAGGAGAGGCTGGTGCAAAAAAAACCCCTCGCCCC